GGGAGTTGGGACACTTATTTACCCCTGGCTGAGTTCTCCTACAACAACAGCCATCACTCGAGCATTGGTATGCCTCCCTTTGAGCTCCTGTGTGGGAGAAGGTGTCGCACTCCCATCTGTTGGGGAGAGGTGGGGCAGAGAGTTATGGGCAGCACTGAGATAGTGCTGAAGACGACCGAGCAGATTCAGCAGGTCAGACAGAGGTTACTGGCGGCAATGAGTCGTCAGAAGAGTTATGCGGATAGACGACGATCTGAGCTTGAGTTTCAGGTCGGAGATTTTGTGCTCCTGAAAGTTTCCCCATGGAAAGGGGTGATCTGATTCAGGAAGCGGGGCAAGTTGGGGCCTCGATATATCGGTCCGTTCAGAGTGACCGCCAGAGTGGGTAAGGTAGCATACCAGTTGGAGCTACCTGCGGAGTTGAGTCAGATCCATAACACCTTCCACGTGTCCTAGTTGCGGAAGTGTGTGGCTGATGAGACGGCAATGGTACCATTAGAGGACATTCAGGTGGATGCGAGCCTGAATTACATCGAGAGGCCGATCACGATCTTGGATCGAAAGGTGAAAGTTCTGAGGAACAAGGAAGTGCCCCTGGTTCAGGTCCAGTGGCAGCATCGGAGAGGGTCCAATTTGACTTGGGAGCCGGAGTCAGAGATACGGGAACAACATCAAGAGTTATTTGCAGAGCATGACTTCGAGGGCGAAGTCTGATTCTAGTGGGGGAGAATTGTAACATCCGGATTCCCAGGTATGTCATTTTAAGTATTTATTTTTGAGGATCATTGACCTACTCGACAAGTTGGCGCTATAACTCGCTGAGTAGAGTCGGGATGGCCACGTGGGTTTAATGATCTACTCGATGAGTCCGGGAGTAGACTCGCCGAGTAGGCGCTGTGAGTTGAAACCATAAATCCCCGGGTTTGGGGCCTATATAAGGATAAGTATAGCCTTATTTGCGGCTCTCCATCTGTTTCCTTTCACTGAGAGAAACCCTAATCGCCCCCTTGAGCTTTTGAGAGAGTTTGGAGCCATTGTTTGAGGTCTTTGGTGCATTTTGGTAGAGGGAAAGAGGATTCCAAGCAAGGATTGTGAAGAAGTTGCTAGATCTGCTGCTTAGACATCCAGGAGCTTCTATTCAAGGTATAAAGTTCGTACCTTTCTCTCTTGTATGGATAGATCTCATGGTTTTAGAGTTAGGGCTTCATTTCCATCTTATTTTGGGGACCTTGAAGGTTTTGAGCACCTTCTTAGAAATAGACATCAGATCTGGACCTTGTGAGGTCCCCAGAGTCGAAAGTCCCCTGCTTTATGCAGCCATGATAGCCCCTTGAATGAGAGACTTCTTCTCAAGCTTGTTCTTGGCATTTTTAGCCCTTTAGTGTTATGCATGAACGTAAAGCTCGAGGCTTTACGTGATATTTAGGCCTTGAGAGCTTAGATCTAGAGTGTGAGAGGGGTTTTCTACCTTGAAATCACCTGAATACAAGTTGAGACCGAACGGACTCGCCGAGTTGATGAGCCGACTCGACGAGCCGGTTAGGGTTTTGTCCCGATAAACTGAGTCAGTTGGTGACCCGTCGAGTTAGGGGTTAGCTCGTCGAGTTTGAGCTTGCCGGGATTGCCATGAATCGATTGGACTCGACGAGTCTCCCGAGTGCACTCGACGAGTCTGGTCAAAGTTGGACCGTTGACTGGAGTTGACTTCTGTTGACTTTAGGGTTTGGTCAAAATAAGTGAAATGGGTCAGGGAAGGGTAGAATGGTCTTCTACCCACTTTTCAGAGATAAGAGTAGATTTTAATTAGAAATATTAAATTGTGATAGGCGGAGGCTAGACCGAGGATTTCGGGCACGAGACTTTTACTAGCTATCTTACGAGGTAAGTCTTCTCACTATACTTTACCTAGAGTGGTAATTATATGTGACCAGAGGGTCTTATGTGCTTGCTTGAGTTATGCATGATTATGTGATATGTATTGTATGATATATTATTTGTTGCTTAGACCGGACTGGAGGGTCCAACGAACTATGAGGCCAGAGGGTTCTCAATTAGACGGGACTGGAGGGTCCAACGAGCTAGACCGAACCAGAGGGTCCAACGAGCTACGGGACTGGAGGGTCCCGCTGAGACACATAGACCGGAGGGTCTTACAGAGTATAGCCTCAAGTGGCGAATTGCTGTATGTGGTATTTTGGGGAACTCACTAAGCATTCGTGGTTACCGTGTAATGTGTTATGTGTTTCAGGTACTTCCGAGGATCGCGGGAAGGCACCGGCGTGATTGTACACACACTCTTGATATGGAGCTATGATTGTGGATCCTGGATTTGAATAATTGTATTGAAAACTTGTTGGTTGTTTTTTAGAATTAATGATGAGACATATGTTTTATGAGTTTTAAAATTGGAAAAGATTGTTTTGAAAAATCATGTCGTTACACACATGGTCTCAATCTACTGCCTCGGGAACCCCCATGGGTCTTCCATGCAAATGTCATACTAACATAACGCATAATCAGTCAACAATCCACATATCATAAAATGGGTCGGCCTTGGTGCCTTAGACCCATTGGTATGGTGAGAAGACTCACCTATCGAATGTTGAACTGACAAGCTAAGATCAGATATATCCTACACACTGCTCCAACTCAACTGCCTATAATCATCATGTGATTAACTTGTCACAATCCCGAAATACCATAATTATCCTCAAAGTCAACCCTGGTCAACCTTGGTCAAAGTCAAGGTCAACAGTCCATGTTGACCTCAACTCGTCGAGTGCATTAAGAACTCGTCGAGTTCCTCCCGAGTCCATTCCACTGAATCCCGAGTCAACTCGCCAAGTTACCTAAGTGACTCGTCGAGTTCATCAAATGTACAGAAGACCAAAAGTTCATGCAGACCAAAACTTTAATCCTTCACTGCACTCATTCAGAATCTCGAAAATGGGTAAACCCTACCCGACTCGTCGAGGCTAAGGGACTCGAGGAGTTCCTCCAATCCTTTTCGTGTTCAGACGTTTTTAAGCTACTCCAAAGCTCCAGATTGTAGATCTAGCCTCCTAAGGCACGGTTTCCACGTAAAGTTGCAAACTTTACGTGCACGCAAGCTTATAATTGCCAAAACCAAGCTAAGAGAGGGGTTTTAGCCAAAGAGAAGGACTAAGCTTGATAAATTCAGCAACTTTATAACTCCAAGGACTTAGAGGAGTCCAGATCTGAAGTTGCAACTCCAGATCTTACCCAACACCCAAAATGCTTCACCAATATACTAGAAATGACCCAAAACCCAAGAAAAGGGGATCTAATGCTAGAATGATCAAGGTAACAACTTGTTACATTTAAATGGGTGTCCAAATGTTGTAGATGTTGGATCTACAATCTCCTTCCCGCTCCAAGCTTCTCAATCTTCAAACTCCTTCAACTAAGTGCACCAAAAACTCTCTCTTAGCCTCTCAATCTCAAGGAAACAGCAAAGAACGGCTAGGGTTTCTTCTCTGGGTAATGAAGTGGTAAAGGAGGCCACAAGAGGCGGATTAAGTCCATTATATAGGGTGCAAACCCTAAAAATTAGGGTTTTCCTTTACAGCGCCTACTCGTCGAGTTGTGGCCTTCCGACTCGTCGAGTAGGATTTAAATCCTGCGTCCTCATAATGATCTCTACTCGACGAGTTGGTGCTCCCTAACTCCCCGAGTCCAAGCATAAAACCCTAAAAACTTAGATAAATTAAATGATACGTGAACGGGTGTTACACCATGAACCCCAAGTGCTCCATTGAGTTCCAAGTGCTCCAAATGCTCCATGAGAATGATCGAAATGCTCCATGAGCATGATCGAAATGCTCCATAAGCATGATCCAAATGCTCGAGTCATATTTAAAAATTCTTACTATACAAATTCTAACCCTTTTTTGCACCTTTGAAACAATTATGTATACTTTGCATTATTTTTAATTAACAAATTTGTTTCTTTAAAAGATTTGTTATGGAATCATAAGCTACAAAATTCATAAAAAGTACAATGCTTGTAATCATATTGTAAATGTTCTTCGGGTTATAGAATCCTAATACAGTTTATTTGGTTGTTTTCGGTTATATTAGGTCCTTAATCATCTTGTACATGTTATTCGGGTAATAATCGAACCGAACCGAACCAAACTCATATTGGTTATTTGGTCCGGTTTTCGGTTCATGTAATTACCCTTATTCGATTTTCGGGTTATATGGTTCGGTCCGGTTCCGACCTGAATAACATCCTTACTTACAGCATAATATTTAACATATAAAATAGTAAAAGAAAAGGATATTGGATGTTGCACCCTCTAGGCCTCTACCTCGGCCACCGGAAAGAATATGATTGTAGACATCCATGAAGAAAAGGAGGAAAGAAAGACGGTGTAAATGATATTATATAAAAATATTATTTCCAATCTAATATTGGGTATATACAATACAAGAGATATACATAAAAAAGAAAACAGTAACAAACTAATATTTTTACAACATTTCAAAAAAGTTTAGACTAAGTCAATCTCAATCATATCTTATCTATAATATAATTCATTCTTGAATAATTATTTTTATTAGTATCTTTTATCTTTAACTATAAAACACATGTAAATTAAAGAGTATGTTGGTTATTTTAGGCTATTTTGATTTGATTTGATGTAATTGATATAAATTACAAAGTCTAATGATTTTCTTTTAGCATTTTTTTACAGTTTGATAACCCTAATAAGACTTGAACGAAAGGTTGATGGTTTTTTTAAACATTTTTCCTAAAAAATAACATAATCAACTATAAAACACCAAATAGACCTTGAATCAATGATTATCATATCAAATTGTCCCTAAATTTTATTGCAAGGGCAAATTAGAATCAATGTTTGGTAGGAAGTCAAAAGATTAAAGTCAAAGTCATCCTTGGGTGGTTTCCACGGTGGTAAAAACCCATGTGGCATTATGTGATTGGATGTTCAGCTGGAGAGGAGCAGGGGATCAGGTGGTCGCGCGTGTAGATTAATAAATCTCATACACCCACCAATACTCTTGATGCTGTTCGTCGAACGCTTTTCGCAAATTTTGTGAAATTTTCGAGAGAGAAAGTAGAGCTTTAATGGCTTCGTCGAAACTACAGGCTCTCTGGAACCACCCTGCTGGCCCGAAAACGAGTGAGTTGTTCCTTTAAATCACTGCTCTGATATTTTTTACAACTTTTAATTATCATAATTAGGTTTTCCTGCTTGTTTTCGTTGCGGGATTTTTGGGGGTTTTAGGTTTAGTTGATAATTTGATTTGTATGTTGTTCGATGACAAAATCATACGAGTTTTCTGCGTTTATTGAAGAAGTTCAGCATCTATGTGTGGTGGTGGTGTTATGATTGAATTATTGAGATTATTACATGATTTTTAATGATACGCTATAATTTGACTTTCTAAGTCAAAGTAATACACCTCAAATGCAAAAGGAGGTGGATTTTGGTACTAAATTACATCAAATATATGGCCTGTTTTGTTGTTTTAGTGAAGTTTGCTCTGGATATCAATTTTTCTTGAAATATTCAAAATTCACAAAAGTTTTAGAGTTGACCAATAACTTGTTTGATCAGTGGTGGGAACTGAACAGTTCGGATATTGATTCTAGTTTTGGCTTACTTCAATTATTTCCAGTTCCTAGATTCACATGAACATAGTTATTTTTTGAAAAAGTATAGTAATTGTAGGAAACTTTCAGTAGCTATCAATTTGATCTCATAGTTGTTCAAGCAAGAATCTATGAGTGAGTGTTTGGACTTTGGATAGATAATAATGCACACCACAATCTAACAATATTAATCATAAGAAATAGAACAGTTGAACATTCTATTTGTGTGATTCAATTCAACTTTGTGTACATCCATGGTGTTGCTAGGACTTTGTTTTACGGCTAATCGCAAGATATTACAATGCCTTACACTCTTTTGTAAAAAAATTAATTTATGTTTCACTTATAATTTATATATATATATCATTTGTGTATTAATTAAGTAATATGTTTTTGTAGTTCACTTCTGGGCTCCAACTTTCAAGTGGGGCATCAGCATTGCTAATATTGCAGATTTTGCCAAGCCACCAGAGAAACTTTCATACCCTCAACAATTTGGTATTTATAATTTTTTTTTTGTTATAAAATATTTTATTTCTTTCATTTGTTCCTGTTTGTCTCTTTCATACTCTTTACATATTATCATTTATATGCCAGCTGTCACAGCCACTGGAATTATCTGGTCTCGTTACAGCATGGTCATCACCCCGGTAAGTCAAATTCCTGTACTACTAGACAAGGGTAAACTCGTCATTTAGCTTGGAGTCTTATAAAAAATGAAATAAATGAAAGTATGTTAGTTTTTCTTTTTTGATGATAATTAATGGTTGATTACAGAAAAACTGGAACCTTTTTAGTGTAAATGTTGCAATGGCTGGAACAGGAATCTATCAACTCTCCCGGAAAATCCGGTAAGTCAAACTACTCCTTTTACAGTTGACTTTTTTCTTTAGATGTTATATTCTTGATCTTTATAATAATTTAGGGATAAAGAAAATGAACTTTTAACAAAAACACACTCACCCCATAAACCAATTATATTTATAGCTGATCATTGTGTTTCTATTGGCTTGACACCAGGAACGATTATTTTAACGAAGAGGAGACTGCAACTGCAATAAAGGAATAATGACGAAAAAAACTCAATGCAATTAAACAAAATTTTATGTCACTTTTTGTTGAGTTTGTTTTTTTTTTTTTTTTTTTTTTTTCTGAAGATTGATTGTTTAAAAATCTTGTTATGTTTAATTTATTTGCAAATTTAATGTTTTTATTTCACAAGTTTCCATTTCGATGAAGTAAAGACAAAAATGAAATAAAAACGAAATAACCCTTTTTTTTCGAATATATTACGAGTATTTTAATTTTGTATTATTTACTCATTTGTGAAAATCAATCTTGAAATATTTTAGTGGGGCCATAAGCTTATACTATACCCATCATTCTTAGGGAAATTGTCAATTTAACTCGTTAGTTTAATGAATTTACGTTTTATATCTTTGTCATATGACTAATATCTTTTACTATACTATATGATTTGTGTAACTATCATGACAACATGTTTTTTTGTAACTATGATGATATGCAATAGTTTAAGGCCAACATGTTTTTAAAAAATATTCTACTATACATTACTTGATGTCAGAATGCATTAAAATAAACAATATATTTATTGGAAGCAACCGTTAAAGATTGGAGTGAAACGTCAACATTGAAGTCGATATTGTTGAAGACTTTAAAAATTCCTTGGTTAACATAATAAAAACATTCAAAAGAAGCTAATTATGATTTTTACAGTGTCTTGACTGAATATGAGAGGACTCCGAACACTTTTATAAAATAATAAAAATGTTCAAAAGAAACTAATTATGAACTTTATAGTGTCTTGATTGAATATGAGAGGACTCCGAATACTTTTATAAAATTGCTACGAAGACCAATCAGTGAATGTGTATAAAAACGACATTGTTTGACGTCATTTCTGATCAAGTTACAGTGAAGATTGAGGATTTTGATTATGTTGCCAAGGCAAGAGAAATATCCGGGTGGATTCCAACTATCATTAAAGAGGAAGGGATACGTAAAAAAGGATTTTGATAGTAAATTTAAGGTTGATGAGAAAGATGATGAAATTTTGAGATCATTTGAGGAAGGGGAAGATGACAGGTTAAGTTTTTATACATGATATGTTTGGGAGCGGGGGTTTCACAGCTGGACATGCCGCTTTGAAAGCCGCTGCGTGCAAAGTGGTAAAGCACGAGAATGCATGTATAGAAAATCAACATGTGTTTGTTCCTTTTGCATTCGATACATTTGGTTTTCTCGCACCAGAGGCGGTGGAGCTCCTCAATAGAGTCCAACGGGTCATGTATTCTAATGTCATATCTCCTAGATCCACAAATGTTGTTTTCAAAAGAATTGGTTTTGCCATCCAGAAAGGGCTAGCGGCGCAACTTGTTGTCCGTTTGCCTTCAATCGATATGTATTGAACTATAATTATCAGATTATAAAAGCAAAATTACATGTTTGGGAAAAACAATGTAAAAGACCACGGAAGATGAGGCTATGATTATGGGGACCACTAAATGGATGGATGTGAGGGAAGGTTTGGTGGAAGAATAAAAGATGGGGATGATGTCGAGAAGAGTGAAAAATGGGCTGAAGTTGATTATGTTTCGTCCCTTGGTACTATTATTCATATTGAGCCTAGTGTTGCTGATCAAATGTGTGTTGGGCAGGAGGGTGGTCTTCTTGTTGCTGCAATTATCAATCTTGTTGAGTCTGGGTTGAGGTGTGAGGGGTAGACCTTCACCTTTGTGGGTGATGCTCATCATAATTGTGATAGTCGACACAAGATTGATGGGGTTCATATATATCATATTTCCATTATAAACCTCTTAGTTTTTTTATGGGGGGTGCGGTTTCACTCCGCAATGGTGTCAACTCCCATTTCTAAAGAGAAAGAGAATGGAAAATCTGGCTCCAACTATGAAAAGTTTCAACACCTTTTGTTGTCTCCCATAAAAGTAATTCTAAAAAACTAAAGTACGGAAAGAGAATGGAAAATCCGGCTCCAACTATGAAAAGTTTCAACACCTTTTGTTGTCTCCCATAAAGGTAATTCTAAAAAAGTAAAGTATGGTAAAGATAAAATTCGTCATAGTGGTTCTTTGAATGAAGGATTGGTCAACTATATTAAAGTGAGTGAAGCGTTGGGTTATGAAACAAAGGGATGCAAAGATGATTTGAGAAAATTACTAAATAAAATGGGTGTAATGCCCGGGTGCTGATTGGGTTCTCATTCTAAATTTGTGGTTTTAAAGTTCAAGATTGATGGAAATGAGGAGAGAAGTTAGAACCATGAAGTAATTTAACTGAGAGGAATTTCACATAAGCGCGACTCACCTTAACTGGTAGAGGAACCCCTAATTTTTTGGTCTTTGGGACCTATCTGAGGACACTAACTTCTGTTTCTTCATTCATCCGCCTCCATCACCCCAAACCTCTGATACTCGAAACCCTAGCCTCTCTTACCTTGTTTTGCCTTGAAGTATGGTGTTTGGATGCTTTTTGTGATTCTTGAAGAAGGATCTAGCCTTTAGTTCCTTATGAAGTAAGATCCAATCAAGTTCTTACCTCATTTTCACCTTCTGAACCTTTGTGAGGTATAAAGTCTCAACCTTTATGTGTTTTACTTCCTAGATCTAGGTTGTTAAGCATAGTTTTGTCCCTTTCATGGCTTTGAATGAAGTTAAGTCTCAGGTCCCAAAGGTTTTCACTTTTAGTCTTCTCAACCAATGGTTGTGAAAGGAATGGATTTGTATCCTTCCTTTTGATCCATGCATGATTCTAGTAGCATGTTGGACTCCATAAGGATTAGGGTTTGAGTTATGTCTTCTTAAGGACTTTTAAATGGATAAATTTGGAAACTTTATCCATTAAGAACCTCATTTGATTCGGATATGAAAGTTGGAATCTGTGGCCTAAGGGATTAAGCACTTAATGGACATAAGAATCTGCATGTAAGGCGGAATGCGTCCCTTTAAGAAATTTCGACTAGTTTGTCCTTTTCTGAGGCGTGGGGCGCCTGGTTTTGTCACGAAGGGGCCTATTGGCTTTGACTTTTTGACCACTTTGACTTTTTATCAAACTTTGTAACACTCTGTTCCGAATTGACTCCTAGTCTGAGGCGGTGGCTCGAAGGTCGGTCATTATAAGGATTATGGCTCGTGGGAAGGTAAGATCTAGCCCTTTTGGGTGCGGGTGATGTATTAGAAATGATCTGGGTGTTTGGTTCGTGTTTTGGAGCCTAGGGGTATTTTGGTAAAATGGCAGTTCGGGTTTTTGTGGAAATGGACTTTTGTTTTGGAAGGTATTTAGGAAGATATGAGTTGATAGAAGTGTAGGGCTTCTCGTTTCCTTTCCGTGGATATAAGGATCGTCGAAAACGGATTTATAACGAAGAAGTTATGGCCTTCGGAAGTTTAGTAGTTTCAGGCTTAGCCGAGTACGCTGGGCGTACACAAGGAGTACGCTGGGTGTACTAGTGAAGAAGGCATTACGCTGGGCGTACTTTTGGAGTACGCTGGGCGTACTGACCAGGAGGATCACGAATGTTCCCCGGAGTACGCTGGGCGTACCATATGTACGCTGGGCGTACTCCAGTCAGATCAGAACCCTACTTTAGGGTCTTGGACCTTATTTAAACTCCTTATCTCATAACCTAACCCGAACATCTTCAGCCTCCACCCCTCTAAACCCTAGAAATCGTCATATATCATCCATGGTGGAATTTTAAGCTTATGGAGTCCGTTTTTGGGGTGTTTGACCCATTTTCAAGAAGATGAAGTTTGATGCAAAGATGAGAATCAAGAAGGAGCTTATAGATCTGGCTTTTAGGACTCATTCTCAACTTGATGAAGGTATAAAGCTTTGAACTTGACCATTGAATGCTTAGATCTATTATGTTGAGTTTTTGGATCTTTTGGTCCCAAGAATGGAGCTTTATGGTTCCAAATCCGTTTTTAGGCTTGGGGTTGCCACCCTTGATGCTATTTGAGTCCCTAAGGCAGAAAGTTGCCATCTTGATGGTCTTAATGGATTCATGCTTGAGTTAGGGTCGCTTTTATGGAAGTAGAATGCCATTGTTGGAGTTTGGGTTTGTTTGGGACATGCAAAGTCACCAAGTCAGTGACTTTATGGGTTTAGACGTTAAGTATAGCTCAGATCTGTGATTTGGACTTATTGGATCAAGTATTAAGGACTTAATGGATGTTGTGCATGAGCCGTTTGTACGCTGGGCGTACAATGTTGTACGCTGCGCATACAACTCTTTTGCCCAGTACGCTAAGCGTACAGAAGAGGTACGCTGGGCGTACGCTCTCAGGAGGAATTGGGCCTTAGTAAACTTCATACCTTTGGGCCCTAATGGTTTTGGGCCTAGACTTGCAGTTTGTTGGATCTGAATGTATCTTGGGCTAATGTTGGTATAGTTGGTCCTATTGGGCCTTGTGGCCCAATATAGAAATGGACTTCATATTTATGGGCCTAGGATTGGGCCAATTCTTGGACTAGGTTGTTGTGGGCCTTCGTGGGCGATTTGGGTCAGGATTATTGACTAAGGAGAATATTGGGTTTTAGTATAAGGTCCACTAGAAAGGTCTGGCCCCAATTTGGAAAATTGGGCCATTGATGGTTTGTGGACATCATAATGTTGGGCTTTTGTTTTGGGTTTGGGACTTAGTTTTGGATCATATTGGAGCAGGGGTAAAATGGTCATTTTATCCCATGCATGGATTAAGGATTATGGTATGGTATATTGATTGGTAGTGGCAGCTCGGGAGGCTGGCGGGGCAGCAGCTAAGGAATTCTTCAGGAAGCTTCTGCATTCGAGGTGAGTCTTCTCACCATACCAATGGGTCTAAGGCACCAAGGCCGGCCCATTATGTGATTATGGTTTATGTGTTAGCCATCTATGATTTGATATGCTATGTGATTATGTGTTATCGCATGGAAGACCCCGGGGGGAGCCCGTAGCATTGGATATAAGACCATGTGGGGTAGCCCATGGCATTCCAAGGTAAATACCATGTGGGGTAGCCCATGGCATAATGGTGTAAGACCCTGGGGGGAGCCCACGACATCCTTACAGGTTATTTGTGTTATGTGTAGT